AGAGAGAGAGAGAGAGAGAGAGAGAGAGACCCAAAAATGTTAGATTGTGCTTGGCTCCAGTATAAATTTACTGATCATCTCGGGCAGAGTGTGTATCTAGTGTTGGTATAATTAATTTATTTTAACCCAGAGAGTATTTAATGAATAAACGTATCGAGATTTTGTTGTGCACCCATCCAAGTGTGTGCAGTTCGGAAAGTGGATGATCTAGACCGAACTGCACACTTTTGGCTGGGTGCACAACAAGATCTAGATACGTTTATTCATTAAATACTCTCTCTCTCTAGCTAAAATAAAACTAAATTAATTATAGTAACACAAGATACACATATACCCGAGATGATCAGTATGTATGTAAACTACCGCTCGCTCGACCGACGAGCCAATCACAATCCAGCATTTTTGGAGTCCACCTAGACACGGGAAGTACGTAGCCACTTCCTTAATAAAATCTACCTCCCCAACCATGTACTTGTGTCTTCCCCAATGGCCTATAAAGATACATGTCTATGTGTCTCTCTCTCTCCTCCCCCTCGACATGCACAAGTAATAATAAATGACATTTATACAATGGTTCTTTACAATACAGTTCAACAGTAACATAAAACGTGTTCCGACTTAAAGAAAATCACTCCAAATATTCACAAACGACTTCAGCTAACATTTCAATGACTCCATATTCAAATGCCCTTTCCCCAAATTGTTTTAAGTTTGAAAAAGATAGTAGAATAAATTTCTTTTCTTTTTGTCAGCTGATGACGTTAAACTGCAATGTCCAGTCTTAAGACATTTGATAAATGTGATGGTGCATTATCATTCAAACATGCAATGTCCGTAAAAGAGGTTTAGCAGAATCTCGCTTTCTTTTCTGTAAAAATAAACTTGCAGTTTTGGACACAGATTGAAGTCTTTTCAGTGATATTCCTGATAACAAGGAGTTACAATAATCGAGTTTTGATAAAATTACGCTAGTTACTGTACTAGCAGTATACTTGGTATTGGTCAGATGACGTATTTTATTAATTTCTATATTTCCAA